ATCCACTATATCATACTGCCTTTCATTTTGAAAAAAAAAATACCCAAATAACTTCACCAGAAACCTGCCATGAAGAAATGCCAACATAATTAATCATATATTTAGTTTCATTAGGATTAAAACTGAAATGATTAGCTTCTATTACAAATGAGTAATCATAGACCATCAGGAAGCTTTATGCTGTCTCAAACTTCCTACTTTAAACATTAAATGCTAAAGATTAAAATGTTATCTTTTAAAATTATCCTTGATGTTTTCACAGTGAAAGCACAAACAGTCCTGTTTTTTAGGTTATGGGCTAACTTAAATGTGCTTTGGCCTAGGAAATCAGTGCTTCACTCCATCCATAATGAGGGATTGAGAGTATTAATTCCAGTAATTTTCTGTAAGAGTAGAATTTAGGGCTAGACAATTTATCCTTGAGTACATTTTGGGACCATTACTTTTCTTAACTGAGATTTAAGAATTATTTTTCCATCATCACCTTTTATTTTCCATGCCCATCTTATTATTACAGAGTTGAAACACAAGAGTTAGGGAGATTTATAGCATGAAATTACTCTATTTACATTTTGCAGTCCTCTCAGCATTTTAAAATTCTCACTCATATATACACTATTCTTTGTTATTACTAAAACATATATGTCTCAATGTCTCCCTATGAAATTTAAGTGGATTCTCCCCAAAATAAAATTTTACCAAGGAGATGTAGTAAATAAATCTACATGATATATACATATATATAATATATATAGATATATATACACACATATCTATATATATATATATACATATATTTACATCAAATATGACTATTCAGTATGATTGTCATAATTCTGTTTACATATGAAAAATTGTGTTACGGAATGGAAAGCAGGAATTAATTAAACGTTTTTACACCTACTATTTTCAAAGAACTATACTTGGTCCAGTGGAAGTAAAACTACGAATAAGACCTTATCTTATTCATCTTTATAATATCTTACCTAGTGTTCCTGAGGTTGAATGCACATACTTGCCAGTGTTGTGATGAGTGATTAGGAGAATGTCTAAGTAGAAGAGAGTTTTTATCTATAGAAAGACAAATCTCATAGAAATTCTATTTTGTGGCTGCCATTATGATGATTATATTGAGTTCCAAAATACTATAGGGTTAGGATCTTCTGAATGAGATCCATATGTATTCAAATTTGACTGGCTTAGTAATCATGCAGGAAAAAAAATGGGTATCAGTGCCCATGTTATGATATAGAGTTTGTCGGTAGACTAATTAATGAGCTTCCCTTTGATCATCTAGCATGGGCAAAGGATAACATATGGGCAGAGAATTTCACTTATATCCATGACATATGAAAAGAACTAAAAGTTAGTACATATATCTTGGACAAGCAGCACAGACAGACAGAGGAACTGGACCCAGAGTTAATCAGGGAAAGAGTAGGGAAGCATTTTAATAAATACTTTTTAAAAGGCTTAGCCAGCAATGGAAAACAATATTAGAATCTGGCCAAAGGGAAGCCCCTTCTTGAACCCCCCCTCAGCAGCCTGGAGGAAGGAGGCTTCCAGGGCATTGGAGAAATCCTCTAGGGAGGCTTTATAGAAAGACACAAACAAGAATCACATTTAGTGAGAAGGCATTGATGAGATGGAATTTTTAGTGATGCAGGGAATGCCTAGATAATGAAGTCATTGATCTGCCAACAGAATTAATTGTACATGTCTTGTCTTACCCACTAGAATGTAAACTTCTTAAGGGCAGATACAATTTCTTTGTATCTCCTTTTGTTTCTAGCACAATGTCTTTCTCATAATAGGATCTTAATGACTTTTTTTGAATGAATCATAAGGATTTTATAAAAAGGGAGATTTCTATTGATGAATTACAAAGAGCTTTAAGAATTCAGAGGAAAGAGAAAATACTCCCCCTGTAACGGATCAGGAAAGCTTCCTTAAGGACACAACAATTGAACTGAGACTTAAAACAAAAGTGGTCTTCAAGTAGGAAGAGATGGGGAAGAAGATATTCCAGGCAGAGAAAAGAAAAAGTAATAAATCATGATGATAATAACATGACCTACTTATCAGGATTATAATGAAATTCAAATGAAAAGAGAGTAAAAAGTGCTTATTTGACTGTATAGTAATATGTACACATATATGTATATATATATATATGTGTGTGTGTGTGTGTATTTCCTCCCTATATATTATTAGAGAGAAATTATATTTCAGCGAAGGTTAAGAGGTAGAAGAAACATTTGCAAAAAAGCTGACACAAGGTCTCTTAAGCCAAAGTGAATGTGGCCAGTGGCAGGCAGACAAGGAAAAGTTTCAGCCAGGTAAGGAAAAGGGCTGAGAGGGTATTAGATAAGGATAAAAGTATTAATAATAGTAGTGAGCATTTGTATGTTGCTTTAATGTTTGCAAACATTTTTACAAGTGTTATTTCATTTTATCCTTGTGACAACTCTGAGAGATAGGTAAAATTATTACCCCCATTTTGCATATAAGGAAACAGGCAGGCGCAGGTTAAGTGACTTTCACAAGGTCACAAAATTAATAAGTATCTGAGGCAGGACTTAAATTCAGGATTTCCTGACTCTAGGCCCAGTAGCAGATAGCTTTCCTGGATGAAAGGACACAGAAACTTTTCAGTTAGAAAAATATAGTCATCAATTTGGTGATCTCTGCTTTCTGAAAGAAGTTGTATACTTCCATGCAGTCCTATTGCATGTCTCAGTTTTTAGGTATGTTGTTCTTATCTTGAAATTCTTTCCAGATTCAATATCCTGGAGGAAATACATTTATGGAACACAAGTTATTCAACACAAAGGAGTAGAATTTAAAATGTATACCTATTCCTGACTTTGGAGCTCTCTTCTGTTTATTATACTGCTGCCTGGTTAGTGCATTAAAATTTATCACCAGATTTTTAAATCTTATTTCAGTTCTTTTCAGAACATTCATTGTGCCAAAACTTTCAACACCTATAGAAAGCTACTTTACAATAAAATAAACAAGATTTTAAAAATACACCACCAGGTTGCTGCCTAAAAAGCAGGGAAAAGCACTGTCATTATAATTTTGTGTCTTTTGACAAAAATATATTTGAGTTCATAATCTTCCCTAATTCATAATTATTATTGTGGTTTGTGGCCTTAATTCACCCTTGCAAAATTACGTATATAAATATTGAATGTTTACCTGATTCTTCTATTATTTGTCCATCCAACAAATAGGAGACAGAATATATGGAACATTTTAGTCATTGCTATTCATCGAGTGGGAATGAGCACATGGAGCTGCCATGTAGTATGTGTAAACTAAGAGAAGCAATCCCCACAATCTGTGCAGATACAGAGTAGCTGATTTGAAAACAAGTTGAGGCAATATGTTATGGTGTGGTTCAAGGCCCAAAGGATTCCGTCTTAAGAGTCAGGAGAACTGGGTTCCAATCCAGATTCTGCTATTAGACAGCTTGAGCTGCTAAATGAACTTATTCAGTCAACGAGCATTTATTAATCACTTCATATATGCTAGGTAATGGGCTAAATGCTGTATTTAGAGTTTTGAGAAGAATATGGAAGGAACAGAAAGCGCAGTTAAGAAAGTTTTTAAAAGATGGCATTTGAGAATGGCATTTGGATATTGAGGCCACAGCTTGAGGTGCAGGAATGAAAGGTTCTTGGTGAGAATTAGAGGCATGCAAAAGGAGCTTGAGAGCACATGTGCCTACAGACTTCTATAGCCTATCTCTAATCCAGAGGGTTTTATAATGAAGACTGAGGGAGGAGGGAAGAAACTGCTGCCACAAAGATCAGGCAAAACAAAGATGGAAGACTAACAGTGAAAGTGAACAGTAATTCACCAGAGACAATATCTAAGAAAGAGGGTCCATAATAATGGTAAGGAATTTTATCCTGGGGGAGAGATAACTTAGGGAGAACATAATAGGTATACTGAAGTGAAGGCCTGTCATATGAAAAAGGGATGAGACTAATTCTGTTATGTCTTGTAGGAACAGGAGTAATGGCCAGAAGTCATATAGAGATTTGAGCTCAATATAAGGAAAAACTTCCTAACAATTTGACCTTTCCAAAAATTGAAAGGGATGCCTCAAAAGTTAATGAGTTCTCTATCACTGGAAGTTTTCCAGTGGAAGTTTGTTCATCACTTATTAGGGATAATAAATGAAAATGGGATTCCTGGTATTAATGTATTAGGCTAGCTGTTCTCTGGATTTCTTCCAAAATCTGAAATTCTGTTCTTCTTATATTTTACCCTTCTGTGCCTTTGTTTTCTCATTTGTAAAATGAGAGGTTAAACTAGATGACCATTTTCCTTGACCTCTCTTCCTGCTCTAATAGGGGAAGGTGGAAAAAGAATGGAACAAGCATTTGTTAAGCACCTCTGCACCAGGCTGTATGCTAAGCACTTTAAATATATTATCTCATTAACAGTCTATGAGATGTGAGCATAGACACAAATAGTAGGTGTTTAGGCCCATGTTTCATTTCAAGTGTTTTATTTGTGTTTATGTTACCTTAGTTTTAGAGTAGAATCCCTTCAAGTTCCTATTGAAGTGCCTTACATATAAGAAGCCTTTACTAATTATTCATTAAATAAATTCATGTTTCTGGTCTGAGTTTAAGTCTGTTTGTATCTTTAAGAGAACATAGATTGTTCTGTATATATTACAGCATTCAACAAATGTGTATTAACAAGCTATTGTTGAACCTAATTGGACCAAAATAAGTTGACTAGTACAAAGGAGTACAGACCTGAAATCTATTTCCAAAATTCACCACTTTTTTCTCTCTCCAGGTTTTGTAAATTGAACTCTTATTTCTCCTCCTTGCCACCAACATTTTTAATTTACAATAAATGAATATAATTTTATCCAAGTCTGATAACTTGTCTTTTTGCTTCACAAATTTTTATCCCTTCCCAACTCTCCATTCCCACCCCCCAAAAGAGAATTTTTGTTTGTTACCTCTTACCGACAGTTATTTTGACAATTCTTTTCTGAGAGTCCATCCTCATCCTCTCCTGCGATGTCCACAGCTGAAAATATCAAGGCAACTAGGATGGCGAAGCAACATACCAGGGCAAAGATCACAATGCACTTTTGCTGAGACTGAAAAAGATTAAGAACAAAAAGAAGAGGAAAAAAAGGAAGATGAATGTTATAGCTCTCTTTTAGGAAACTCAAGATTTGACAGCTTTTCAAAACTAGTGGGAAAAAAATCCTTTGGAATACATTACTTTCATTATTGCCAGAGCAAAATTGTTCTCTGGGTGAAAATGCAGAAGGCCTCTAAGCCTATTCTTCAACACAGCCTCCAAGTTCATGCTATATGTCAGATACTATTAAATAATTCATGTTACAGTGCCAAGACTTTGAATTCCTTCTTTATTTCTCTCTGATCAAAAATGACTCAGAAGGGATCACTGAAAAATCCATTACTTCTAATTAAAAATAGAACACATGGCCACTCAGTAATTGCAATCTATTACCCATTTACCACCACTCTTCTACCTTCTGCTTACTGATCATGATTTCCCCTCTCTTTGTCCCCACTCATCTCCAACCCCCTGACTCAATCCCTATAGAAATGACTTCTTGAGAACTCCCTTGGATGTTGAAAAGTGCCCTGAATTTTAATCAGCCTCACTGGGTTTAAAGAGCAAGCAAAGAAACTGATTAATATATATGCAGGCAGCAAAGATGTGTTTAAATATAAAATTTCATCTTAAAGACACAATTAACTGCCATTTACACACCTTATTACAGTGAACACGTGAACACAACTAGAGTGTTAGATCGTCAAGAAGTTACTTCCTCACCTGCAGGTCCCATGCCATTCAAACTTTAAGGTCACTAATTCTAGAGAATGATGGGAAAATCTGACTACAGAAAACAGAGCCCTCTTTTCATCAGGAATAGATCAAGGCTAGAAGTCAATTACACTATGTTCTCTAACTTCCTGTGACATTTTTATAGAGATAAAATAAAGTTAAAATGAACATTAAAAACAGCCTTGAAGGAGCAGTGCTGAAGCTATCTCACAGAAGCACAAACTGCAGCATAAGGGGCTTATTTGTACAAGACAGATAGGGCTGGATGAGTTATGGGACCCATTTGCTAGCGTCTATCAAAAGCTCAGTGACTATGACCATGGCCTCAACTTGCTATATTTGAAAGATGGCTGGGGATCACAGAGATTAGAGCTGTAAGGCTGGACCAAATTTGTGACCAAATTACCACTGCATGGCTTCTTTTATATTATCTTCTACTCTTCTTCCTCTCTCTCACCCCTCCCACCAAACCTCAATTCACATGCCAATCCCTTCCTCTTGATACTCTTCTACTACTTTACCTGACTGTGACCTTAAACAAAGCAAGAACCTACCCCAAAATTACATCTGAAACAAAAGGAAGGCATTATTAGCATTGCTCTTCTTTTAAGAACACCACAGAATAAAAATTAAATACATATATGAATACATGTATGTATATACATATATATGCACATATATTAACACATACATATTTAGACATGTGTGAATGTAAAGTGGAAATATAACATAGGGAGTAGAGGATTTATAGATAAAAAACAATTGAGAACCACTGTTCCATGCCAGTCTCTAGAAAACAAAACCCCAAAGATATAAGAATACTTAGAGTTTTTCTAACCCTGAACGTCTGCCTAACAGGTTATATTTTCAGATGCACCTAGTAGCTCATCTTTAGACACAAAAGACAATGATAAATAGGCCTAATTAGTCTAAATGTAACCTGCAAAGCATGTGCCGATGTATATGCTTTTCCCTTTCTTAGTTCAGTCATTTTAATAATGAAAATTATTTTCCCCCCACAATTCTTTTTCATGGGAATTTCCTTTTTGAAAGTAAAAAAAAAAATATTTATTTTTAAACAGTTCCAGAATCTCAAAAAAAGGTGTGGCACAGTATATAGAGATCTAGCCTTATTGTCTGGAAAGAATCAGCAAGCCTTTATTAAGTGCCAGGCAGTGAGGATATAAGTAGAAAGAATGAAACAATTTTTATTCATGAGGAATTTGCATTCTAATGGGGAAGACAAGAAGTACATATATAAATATATAACAAAAAGTTAAAGTGAATGAATACAAATACATATGTGTATGTACACATATATGCAAATATGAGGTGGTGGATGAACTCTAGCAGTTGGGAGAATGGTCCTTAAATCTGCACTTTAAAGGAAAAGAGGGACTTTGTGAGGTAGATAGAAGGAAGGGGACTTCATTCCAGGAATGTGAGATTGTCAGGGCAAAGATGTGAATATTGGATATGGATCATCCTGTGAGATAGAAAGAAGGCACATTTGCCTGTACTGAAGAGTGCAGGAGGGGATGTAATGTACAATGAGGCTAAAGGGATGGGTTAAGGCCAGGTGGTGATGGTCTTTCAAGACTAAACAGAGGAGTTCATGATTGTTTTTTTTTCTTCCTAGAGACAACTGTAAGCTACTGGATTTGATTGAGTAGGAGAGACACATTGTCAAATCTGCACTTAAGAAAATAACTTTGTCAGCAGTCTGCTGGATGGGCTGAAGTAGTTAGAGATGAGACAAGAAGACCAATTAAGAGACTTTGGCAATAATCTAGGTGAGAGGTCATTAGGGCTTGACTTAGAGTGATAGAAAGTGCTAGCTGTGTGAATAAAAGGAAGGCATTAGATGCAGGAGGTATTGTGGAAATAGGGAAAAATTCAGCAATTGATTGGATATGCAGGGGTGATGGAGAGTGAGGAGTTGAGACGAATGCCAAGGTTACAAATCTGGGAGCCTGGAAGAATGGTGGTGTCTTTGGAAGAAACTGGGAAGTTTGAAAGAGGAGGGTTTAAGGGATGATAATGAACTTTGTTTTGAAAATCTTGACTTTGAGATGTCTCTGGGACATAGTGGTTTGAAATAGGCAAATGATGGCGTGGGATTGCAGTTCCAGAAAGAGATGAACTAGATATATGCAGGTGCATATATGTGTAAGTGTATGAAAATGTTCCCCCCCCCCCAAATACATACATGGACTAGATGATACACAAGATCTCTTTTAGCTCTTGCAATTTTTTTTTCAAAAACTGTCTAGACTCCAAACTCTCAAGATTTGTATAATCTGTTTATGAAGAAGAGTTTCTTGCCATTTCACGTAGCTCAGTCTTAATTGAACTTAATTACATTAAAAAAAAGTGTTCTATCCTAAGGAGAAGTACTCAGCCCTAAGTGCCAAACAGCAATTTGATGCCAGGAATTTAACTTCCTTCTCTCTTCTATGTCCTCCTCCTAAGGATGAAAATTTACAGAAAAAAATGGTCAGAACTTGCTGATTCAATTTATTTTCTTTCTTTAAAAAGTTCATTATTTTAAAAAATACTATTGATGAATCTGGACAATTTTGTGTATTGGAGAAGGCACTTTGATTTTATAACACTCACAAAAGTAAATTCTATTCAAATGAGCAATTAATTTTAAAGAGAATCTTAATTTGCTTAGGAGAAGGAAATAAGGCTATGCAGGTCATTTAAAAAACTAATTGAGAACACTGCCTTGGGAAAAACGTCATTAGTAACACAAGGTCATAACACTACTTTTCCTCAATCTCAATTATAATTCTTTTCACCAAAAAGCAAAAAGACTGTTCAAATAAAGGCAATGCAATCTCATAACTCAGACAAAAGTATGAGGTTACTAAAGGATTCATTCATTTTCAAATCCTGAATAGCATATCAGATCATTCAGAAACCAATTTAAAACATCCATTCCAGTTTTCATTGGAACATGATGAGGTGAAGTTTTTTTTTAAACAAAAAAATCTCTAACTATGATTACAATCAGAAACTCACTGATGAATCGAACCCATTAAGTGAAAACTAAGTTTGAGCCATTATCAAATACCATTTGATCTGCATTTTTCAATGCAGTTTACATCTATATTGAAAAAGCTGCTTGCCTGGCCAACTGGTAAATTTAATTATGGTGGTATTGAAAACACAACAATATCACATTTCAACAAATTACATTTTGCTTCAAAAAGGAGTAGAATAATTTATGATCTATAACCTGGGAGATGGTGGTAACCTTGAAAATTATAGTAATTGCATACTTTGAGCTCTGCTTTTATTTCACTTGGCAAGTTAAAAAGTACTAATTTACAGAAAGGGTTTTTTCTTTGCCAAGTTAAAAAATTAAATTTAAATGCAAATGTGTGTAATTCTTTCCATGGGACAACAACTTAAAATGTGGAAATTTTTAAAATTAAGACACTAAGGTCACATGAACATTATAACATAGCACTACAATTTGTGTAGCATATTGGACTAACTGGTCCCAGTCCTTAAAAGGATGCATTATAGTTACCTCTTTTGATGCCACCTTCCATTGGATAGTACTTCGTACTTTGCAAAGCATATTCACTTCCCTGATCTTCTTATATCCTCAGAGAAGTTCTGAGAGGTTTGTCGGGTAGGGTATTATTATCTTCCTTTGAACAAGTGAACAACTTCCAGCTCATAGAGACTCTGATTTGCCCACAGTCACAAATCAATATCAGTTCTAAGTCAGCCAATAAATATTTATTAAGCACCTACTATGTTTCTGGAACTGTGCTAAGTCTAAGGATACAAAAAGAGGCAAAAGATAGTCTCTGTCCTCAAAGAGCTCACAATCTAATCAGGAAGACAAGCAAACAAACGTATACAAACAAGCCATATAGAGGATAAATAGAAAATAAATAAGGGAGAAAAGGCACTAGAGGCTCATCTCTAGTTCATTTCAATATCTTTCCCACAAACAATTTCAGTCTCTTCCTGGTACTTCACCCCAGGATACACTTTGTAACCAATGGGTCCTGGGAAGATGAGGTGTGAGAATCACCCTGAGGGATTCAATATTAACTCATATCTCTATTTGCAGGGATCTCTAGAACGGCAGTGGGGGAGAAATGGGATGCTTTAGTTAAAGCTAACTTTGGAATAATAATCATAAGGGAGCTCAATGAACATATCTTGTAATGTTTACACTTCTAGTATGAACTCTAATAACTTCTTTAAATTCAATTGTTCTACCTATATTATAGTCAGTGATGCCTGTCAATG